TTTATCATGTTATGGGGACATTATGTCCCCATAAGGATAGGTAAACCCGCTCGCGCACACACACACACACACACAAACACGCAGGTTTGTAATTATATTTTTGTGGGGACTCTCCATTTATTTATATGGGGGAAACTCTAATCACAACATGAAGACCTTAACCCCTACCCAGCCCAAGTAATCAAACAAAATACGAGACTTTCAATATTTTTTGTTTTTTGATTGCATTCACAGATCTTTGTGGGGACCTGAAAAATGGTCCCCACAATGTCAAAATAACAGATTTTTATTACATTGTTTTTATTTGTTCCCCACAATGTAATATAACCATAATCCACACACACACACACACACACACATACATACACACACACACACACACACACACACACATATGTATTGTCTTACCTCCTTCACTGAAGAAATTAGATATGAAGACTAATAAAACTGTTAGAAAACAGACACATTGAGCTGAAACCACAAGAAGATATCAAAGCATTTAATTTTAAGTGATGAAATCTCAGAGTGGCATAATCAAAAAGTACAACTTAAGGAAGACTGAAAGTTTACCGTTTAGCTGCAAAACGATGGGATAATCCATCTGGGGTCAATCCTACCAGGTCAAACCTAAACTGGTTAGCAAGCCGCAGTACAGATGCTGCTTTATCTGTTTTTCTCGCTACTGCCTTATGATTGCCTCTGTTCTGGCAGGAGCAGATTAAAATATACATTGAAATGTTTCCTGTCACATGCAGTTTTATCTTCAGTTTGATGAAAATGAGGGGTTTTCCAGAGGTGGCAGTGTGAGTTACTGGTGGTGAAGCTTGCTTTAGACTCTGCCTTACACAGCAGACCTTGAAATCATATATCAGGAAAACATTAATGGTGGAGGCGTGTGGGTGTCTGCAGACAGTCTACACGCGGGGGTCTGCAGACAGTCTGCACACAGGGGTCTGCAGACCGTGTATACCCCCAGGGTGTGACATTAACATTGACCCCTGTGAACTGCAAATTAAAATAATGAACCGATGCATCATTGTCATATTGTTTCTGTGCCTGTGATCAGAAGGTTGCTGATTTGAGTCCCAGCCTCAGCAGAATAGTCACATGCCTGCGGACCGTTGAGGAAGGCCTTTAGTCTCCAGTTGCAGTAGCACTGCATGCTGGCTGACCCTGTGCTGTGAACTCCAAGCTCATTCTCACCTGTGTGTGTGTGTGTTGGGGGTTGTGTATGTACAGTGCAATCTGTTTACAGTAATCATGTCTGTCTCTGAGAAATTGATCGTTATCAGCAGATGATCGTTATATCCGTTTTTTTCCCTTTTTCTTTATGTCTTAGGCAGATTACCATCTATCTATGTATATTTATTACATGAATATAATAGAACGGACAGCGTCGCTATTTACAGAATTTTATTGACTCTTTCAAAATACAATACAGCTGTTTCAAACGCTTTTCAAATGACAGTACTGTACAAATGAAATTACTGAACTAGGTATAATTCAAATACGCTATAATACTGTATAATACTGTAGCGCCTGCATGTATACATCCCTGTTGTTGTCTTGTTTATAAACCTTGTTTGTATTTTCTAGAGCAAATGACTGTTGTCGTTTTCATTCGCCACACTGTCATGTACTGTAAGCGGACTACTATATGCGAAATGAAAGAGCATTTGTATAGGAATGACTATTGTATAGGTTGATCACTATATGCGAGTTCCACAGTATTTCATTGTGGGGACCAAATGTCCCCTCAATGTGGTAAAAATCTGTTATTTTTACATTGTGGTGAACATTTTTTCAGTACCCACAAAGGGAATCTGAATTTTATAAAAATTTGTGACTGCAATCAAAAAAATTAAAAATGCCGAAAATCTTGTGTTTTGTTTGGTAACTTATGGTTAAGGTTAGGGCTGGGTAGGGGTTAAGGGTGTTATTGTTGGGTTTAGCGTTTTACCCCTAGAAATGAATGGATGGTCCCCACAAAGATATGAATTCAAACATGTGTGTGTGTGTGCCCTGCGATGGATTGGTACCCCATCCTGGGTTGTTCCATGCCTTGCACCCATAGCTTCCAGGATAGGCACTGGACCCCAGACCCCAAATAAGACAAGTGGTTACAGAAAATGGATGGATGAATGGATGGATGGATAATACAGGGTAGTTAGCTTTGGCAATCAAAACAGGGGCCAAAACTCCTCACATTCAGTTGTCTCTCAAATCAGGAAGTAAATTGTCCTCAGGGGTCATTTTCATTTTTGTTCTGCTTTTCAGAATTACTCAGGTTTCTACTTTCTATTCTAGGAAACAAAAAAGCTGTGATGCATATCAAGACAGGTGAACAGAAAGGAAAAAGCACGCTTGGTCTGCCTCTGTTCATGTGCAGGATGACTAGCGATACCCAACGCCCAGGAGCCATTTTAGAGAGTAATCAGCGGAGGATGAAGTGTTATTTGTTTGTGGCTTTAAAATGAACATATGCAATTACTGGAAATCTGTCTTACAGAACAGTAAGCAACGGAACCACCTGCAATAGCAGGTTTTTGGGAATTAGAGCTCCCTTATTTCTGGTGGTATGCCACAAAGCACTACTGGTGTGCATTCAAGCACAGGAACACGTTGCACTTCTGGAATTTCCACCTCGACACACCCTTTGGACAGAGGTTGCACCGTCCCCGCCTGTCACAGTGAAGTGGCAGATGACCATAGTTGTCATAACGCACATCTAGTTGTGGTTGTGAGGGTCGTGGGGTGTAGCGTTTCTTCTGAAGCAACATGTGTGGTGGAGAGGAGGATGATGGTCGGCCAGCTTTAGATGCTGGCTTGTTGACTTGCCTCAAACAGTGTCCAACTGCCAGACGAAACCTTTTGAGACAGATTGAGATGCACAGGTCAAGGATGTATCCAAACAGGGGAAAGTACCATCGCCTTGACTTTGTTGGGGTCTTGTACATGTGTACCAGCATGTCAGAAAGATTGATGCCTCCCATATGCTGATTGTAGGCATGAATGAGTGATGGGCATGGGACAGCAACTACTGCATGGGCTTCTTTGCTCCAGCG